AAATTCACCCTTTTTCAAACCAAATTCACCCTCACTTTTCACATCAAATTAACCACACTTATTAGGGCGGGCAACTCATCAACAGATCACGCCAGACATCACTGCGAGCCCCGCCCCGACGGCCACGCCCACTTGTCAGCGCGGACATAGATTCTCAAATCTTGTTTCCTTCTGCTTTTGCTGTTTCCCACAAACACTTTGACTGGAAACGACCGGGCATTGACACATGGCCGACTCCGCCCATTCTCTAAAGGGTTTGGCAATCTACGCCCACTTGCTTTTCGCGGACTTTCGATATTTTTTCAAAATTTTTGCATTTTAGGGCTGCTGCGTGAAGCCCCGCCCACTGTGAGAGGCTCCGCCCACTTTGAAGAAGCCCCGCCCACTTTTCAAAATGGTATCGGCAGTATAGAGCCTTGGCTTGCATGTTAGGATATTGCTGATCATCGGAATAAACTTTGCCAGATTTTCTTGTTATGTCGAGAGTACTTCTGAGCTCTGATATAACTACTTCGAAGCAGCTCTCGAGAGACAACGAAAGGTACTTCGCGTGGTAAGTCCGGTTGAAGTTTTACAGTGGATCTCCATTGCCTCACTCCTGAAATTCCAGATGGACGTTGACCAAAACATTTTGTCGTGAGTATATTTGCCTACAGTTCTACGCCCGGAGTATTTTGACCTCGAGAACACGAACATTACATCAGCTTGGTGTGCAAATGGATTTAATAAGCGTGTGCAAGGGTCAAACTATCCCTTGATACAAGGTTTTTTAATACATTGACGACAGCGTGATACGCATTTAATGCGCGCTCTGTGGGCCACGTGGGACCGCGCGAATTGTATACGAATCACGATCAACAATCCATATCTTTCAGTAGTGCATGGTTTTTTTGTTTACTTTCTCCTGTTCATAGGCCAGTCCTTAGTATACTCGTACACGTGGTCCATGGAATAATTTAGTACACATTAGTTAAGCAAAGATTTCCTGTGGAAAGAGCACTATAAGCTTGAATTGGTTTGCTCCTCAACTTTGGATTGGTTTGCTGTTTAACTCTTTGCCAACAAATACAGACAATTACAACATTGATAATGATGAAAAATATAAGGTGAAGGATTCTGAATCCTATAGAAAGCACGATTTGCATTTTTTATGAAAAAATTGGTTACAGACAAATTCCTGGTCCTGGTGCAAAGAGAGTTGGCCAGCCCAGATTTTTCCATAGTAAATAATTGACTTACCTCACAATTGCTCTCTAAACCAGGTTTTTCGATCCAATCTCCAAAAAAGCGCTTCGTGGGACGGCTTGAATTGTATGCGTACCGCGCTTGTGGCGTTCAAGAAAGCGCGCGTGTCCCACGAGGCCGAAAAGCAAAAACCCGCGTTGTCATCAACGTGTTAAAAAAAAGTGTCAAAATGTTGCATTTCCAGCAAATTCAGCCTCAAACAATGCTTTTT